CGATAAATTCGGAATTTTGTAACTACAAAGTATCCTTCGTGCCAAGCTCTTTTAGACTACCTTCAGACGTCTACCGTTGACGTTGAAAAGGTTAAAAAGGGTTTGACTTTACAGTTCAAAACTTCACAACTTTCCCAAATTCCTTACAAAAAAATGAACGAAAGTTGAGAGAGCAGATAGGAGCTTCTAGAAACAGATACACATTTACTAAGCACTTAGAGTATCGAGGAAAAATTAAATCGAAGACGCGAGCGCACTGCGCAACCTAGTATGCACACAGTATGTTAGATCGGCTGACACAAAGGCTTTGTGCGAAAAATAACGTTGGTTTTGCGTTTTTCATGTAATGCCGAACTCCTTGCTCAATGGATGTTGATAAGTGTTAAAGGCAGCGTCCAGACAGATCTGGACCTATGGAGATTTTACTTGGTAAGTAATTTTGGGGCCATAACTAAGGCGCTGTCCAGCAGATGACTCAGTAATGGCTGAGATATACGCTTTCAAACTGGACCACCTCAGAATCTATTCGCATGAATTCACGGCAGTTTCCTGCTAGGACCTACGCCCTGCGCCATGAATCCATGCAAAATAATCTTGAGGTCCAGTTTCGAGGGGAATATCTCAGCCGTTTGAGCACTACCTGAGCTGCCGGTTGGGCAATGACCTAGTTAGGGCACCAAAATTACCATGTGTCCAGACTTGCCTGGACGCTGCCTCTAAGCTGTCAGAATCCTCAACCTTCTTCTTCGCAAACTTCTTTGTGGAGAAGCATCAAATTCTTGCTAATAGCTCACACAGTTTTTTGAACAGACATTTTGTAAAGCATACCATCAGTCAGTACTTTGATAACGGTTATTATAGTAGATTCAATACTGACTGGCATCTGCGCGCTCGAAACTCAGCTGCTGCATCTATTAGAGCATCACTCAATTGCCATTCTTTGTGGCGAGAAGAGTCATTACACTCTCGAAAATCCCAAAAAAGCTAGCTATTCTTTTTTTCCACGGGGATTTCAGATATGACTCATTATGAACCCCTCGGTATCCTTTTTATCAATGCTTCAGGCGTCAATTAAATACTCTAAAGGCAAATGCGAGTCACGAGAGGTTAAGAGAGGATTTTTCGCCGTCTAGTACCACATACCGTTAGGCTCAAGCACCAAGATTCGAGTAGCAATATTTGCTGATCTTCTGTCCTGGGTGAAACAAAGTTCAATCAAACTAAAATTCTGTATAGAACAGCTTCGTGATTCGAAATACAGGTTTAGAAACTGCATTCAATGCCATATTTAACTTGATCCTCAAGCGAATGGTAAGCCCAGTGTTTTCCTATCTATTCTTGAATATCAAATGCTCACTGTCAAAATCTCTCACCTACGCTGTCAGAAAAAGTTTTCTCATGAGTTATGATTACCATTTCATCAAATCATTGTTTAGGTTAAAGCACATGCTTCTTGGGGATGCAACATAACACTTTCCGGTCGTGAGCCCAAAGTCGCATGTATTCTCGTATACGATAATGTAAGTAAATTATAGCCCTTCTTGTGCATTTTTCTTCGTTCAAAATGCTTTTGAGTTGTTTGAATTTTTCAAGTATTCACTGAAGTATCGTTAAAAAGAAAACAATATATGGAGCGCAATGTCTTTGCTCTTAATTAATGCCAACATGCAAATATAGTGTGCTGTAACCACAATTCAAAGAACTCTTCGCTAATTCTAAGGAAACATCATCTAATTTTTTTGAGCATGGCTGACCTTTTTTCCCATTTTGAACATTGGGCACCGAATCAAATTTCAGTTCAACGGAGCAAAGACACCTGGTACTTTGACCCGAATAAATTCTGCGATTCGAATAAAACCGAACTATTCGTTTTCGAAATTTGAACTGGAAGATTGATTTCGAATATGTTCCGAAAACTCAATTATACATAATTTGAGTTTGAATGAAATTAGAAAACTTCAACTCAGAGTCTTGAATAAAGGAAATTAAAAACTAGAACTTAAAATTTTGGAAAAAGTCCAAAAACTCAAATTTTCAAAAAGTTTTTCGAAATACATTGGAATATTAGGTTGATTCATAACTAATGCACGTTTTATATACTTCAACTTTCAACCAAGATAATTCTTTTTTCAAAGACATATCTGGGCGCACCATTGAAACCATCAAATCCAGCTGCTATAAAATAGATACTTTTGCGTGACTATATCTATCACAAAAATTTTCTGGCCCGAAAAGTGCCAACAACTTTTTTCAGAAGCCTCTACTTTGAGAGAGCATAATTTATGTTTAAATGAAGTAGGATAAAGCAAACTCGCTCATCGTGTAGCCAAAGGTCTCTTGAGCAGTATTGCCAAGTTTGGATTTTGCGGAAGAAGTTTAGAGAAAATATCGCAAAAAAGTCGAAAGTACTCATATTTTTCTGGCATCTCGGCTGGTTCAAAAATCGATCATTTTTGAAATTATTTCATTTATCTCCTCTGAAAAGTGGGAAAACCCTAGCGCTTTTCTACTATCAAATGAACTAGGTCTACCCTTGCTAAATAGTGCAAAAGACCTGCAATCGCCTTTTGCTTGAAAGTTTTATATGGTACGGCAGGTCCGCGACCATTATTAAAGTTAGCAATTGAATTTCTCGGCTCAGAATTCATGGAAATTTTTTTTCAAATAGCATCTTGTAGCGCAAAGTTCCCTAATCCTTACGCATACTTTTTATAATTAATCTATTTCTCATGGATTTAGAGCAAAAAGAGTGAAAAGCAAAAACTTTCGGATTTAGTCTCTTTTATTTGAAGGCTCAGAACTTTGGAATGAATGGAGATGTACGAAAGCGAAGGCCCACAAAAGAAACTAGAAAAAACGCTCTTTCAGATTGCATGAAAAGTTTTTGAGGGAATTGATTATACTTCAAATACCAGCTTTTGGAAGAAGAGGTGAGAAAAACGTGCATTAATTATGAATCAACCCAATATTTTGTACAAGTGTCTCGTTCGGATTCGTTCTCGGGCTTGCATACAAGCGAAGTGCTGGGCCTGAGCTCTCTGCCCGCACTAGTTTAAAGGCAGTGTCCGGGCAAAAACTCGATTTTGAGATTTTGTGCTTACTTGGGCCTATTCGCTACGCTGAATCCGAAAATGCACATTGTAGAGCGCGAAAAGGGCGAAAACGGCTCTAGCGCAGGAGGGAAACAGCAGGTGGGCGGGGCCCTCCCCACTGCGAATTCACGTTCCCGGCTTCGGGGGCGATCTTTTTGATTCCGGTTTCAAGTCATTCGTTTGCACTTGATCGGTAGTGATGTCAGGGCAGTTAACAGATTCGAGAAAATTGCTCTGGAAGCTGGAAGCGTGAATTCACAGTGGGGAAGACCCCGCCCACTTGCTTATTTCCCTCCAGTGCTAAAGCCCTTTTTCGTCGTTTTCGCGCTTTCCAATGTGGATTTTCGGATTCAGCATGGCGAATAGGCCCAGGGTAAGCACAAAATCTCAAAATCGAGTTCTTGCCCGGACACTGCCTTTAAGCGCCAAATGGCTGAGATTTTCCGCCCTTCTTTGGACCCAAGATCTACTCAATGCACACTTTGTTTTGTCTTTTCCATTTTGAGTATATTGTGTAAAGCTAAAGTTTCGGAAGAAATCTGTAACAAAATTTTTGATAACTTATTTCCTTTCAGAATGTGTGCATACTACCGCAACATAGCCTAGTGTCAAGATTTTCCGAAAGAAGGTCTGCCGAAAGTGCGTACAGTTTAATGCACAATTAATCCAATTCCCCATTCCTAAAACTTCTCATTTCTTGCCCAATGATTTCTACGCTACTTTACAGAAACGTTTCTCTAGCATCTCTTAGCTCCTCTCAGCAAAGAATTTAATTACTAACACTTGCTGAAAAAGCTCGGGGTTTAGTTTTTTTCCCTTTTAAGGTTTTTGTGCCAACTTCGAACCCTCTCCTCCTTTTAGTTTGCTCCACCGATAAAACGTACTTCTCCCGGCAGCACATTCCTTGATTTCTACTTGCAAGTCAACGGTCCAAATTACTTTCAAAAGGTTAAAGGAAAAATCACCAATCAACAGCTAAAATTCGCTCGTATTTCTTCTAATCCCCTCTATCAAGAATCTGCTTTCTCAAATTCTAGTCACTCAACTGTTTGTCCTCATAAGTGCATATACATCCATTCCCTCCTTGGAATCTTCCTCGCAGAGTTGGCCGCAGCCTTAATCCTTTTCTCAAACTCGGGTCGCAGTGACTTAAAATCATTTTCTATTCCTTTTTTCATGCTCTCTGCAATTATAATAATTTCCATGTTACTTAGGCTTTGCTATATGTGTGCCCTGGCCAGCTTACCATAGGTATCTCCGCGACGCGCACGCAGCGCATGCTTCTGCTGCCCTATGCGAGCTTTCTTCTTGGGTACTTGAACAATTTCTTGCTTCTCTTTTTTGTTCATCGTTGTTGCTCCAATATTCATCTGTTTCAGGTGGCCATCACGACAATGGGCAAAGGCGATCTTTAACACATTGACGACAATGTGACCCACATGGTGGGTCATGCAATGATTGTGGTTTTAGAAGTTCTGTTAGGCTTCATTCTTAGGAAATACTTCCGCCTTTCTTAGCTGCTCCTCAAAATCACTGTAGGGATACTGCAGATGACGGCTTGCTTGATTTCAGCTAAAAAAACTCAGTCTACTGTAGAAGGCACTGTACCACAAGGGAGGCAGCTAAAAATGCACGCTGTCGTCAACGTGTTAACATGCTTGAGAGCGTTGTTTTAGTGATTTCTCGTTCTCTTTTCGCTAAGTCGGTGTTCGAGCCTACAAAAAAACGAGTGCATCGCGATTTTATGCCATGTTAATGCTTCTATGTACATATATGTGACAGTGGCGTACCCAGGATCTCGTTCGGGAGGGGGGGGGGGCACCCCTAAAAGGTTTTTATATGCTTCCCAAAATTTTTTTGGCCCCTAACCCGGATTTAGAAGAAGAGGGCGTGGCGTCAACCACCCCCAAAAATATTTTTTAAGGCCAAATTGAGTTTTTGAAAAATTCACGAAATTGTTTTAGTTATTCACAAGTATAGACAAGTCACTTGCACTTTTATAACTCATGTAGGTAACTTCCAAAAATTTCGCGACCTATTCTAGAGGGTGGGAGCTCCCCATCCCCACTGGCATGCTGATATGTGAATGCCTTTTGAAAGATAATTTCGATTGATTGAACGCGTTTGTGCGAGCTCAAATGTTTGGACTTGCTATGTTCATCAAATTGAAAGTTGCATAAACTACTTTGTCGTTGTTTGTAAGCTACCAATTCCAAGTGCTGTTGCTGTGAAAGTTTCCGAATCCGCACCATTTCACACAAAAACTGCAAACTATTAAAGTGATCGGTAAAAAATGGGGCACCTAGAGAATAAATGTAGATTTTTCAAAAAAGAAAAGTGATTAAACTTTCCAGTTTTGATGGATGTTAGAATAAATTATTCCCTTTTTGAAAATATCCATATAAGCTCATTTACATACGTAACAATTTTTATAGTGGCTGAAATGCAAAGGTAGTCACTTTGACAATTTATAAACTTCGGGCAGTATCTGCGCAGTAAAACGTGCGAAACCATCCAAAGTGCTACTGCTGCAATGCGTGAAGGTGCAGTCATCAGACCCACGATGGGTTGCTGGCCTCGACTTCCAAATTCAGGAGATATGGCCATTAGCAGCTTCGAGAACAAAGAACGCGTTTTTCAATTCTTTGCAGGTGAACGCATGTTTTCTAGGTACCATCTGACGAGCTTTTTACGCACTATCCATCCATATGCAGCTTACCTCAAATTTTATCTATCTTCGGAAAATACAGATTGAAACTTGATTTATTGGTTTTTGTTGCGCCAAAAAATCGCGATTTTTCAGGTATTTCGCTTTTTTTTACCCAGAAATAGGAAGAATTCCTGTATGTTTAATATATTGTTTGAAAGAGCATGAAGAGCTCTTTCAAATGGTTTATCAATTGCTCTATAACTTTACGGTATGGCAGCAAGAATGAGCGATGTTCAAAAAACCTTGTTCGAGTTCTTCAGGGCGCCACGCGTAGGGTTGTGCGAGAGAGCGTTGACGCTTTGCCAGAATAAGAGGCGAAGGTCTATTATGTAAGCGACGTTTGAGTGTAGCCTGCTTGTTGTTGGTTAGAACAAAAAACCTCAGAATATAATAAAAATCAAGCTGCCATTTTTTACCAATCATCCTAATGGCAACAGGGGCACCAGCTTTGTCTTTGCATGTGGGATTTTCTGACGTAGATTGAGAGGTCTGCCTTTTCTCTCTTACTCCTCTTCCTGCGTGGCAATGTCTTGCCAAAGCGAATAACCAGCAGAAAGGGAGCGCGCTGCGTATGCGCCGCGGATGTACCTAAGGGAAACTGGCCCGGGCATATACCATAAGAAATGAGCACTGCACGGAAAATTTTCCTAGTTAACCTGTCGTTATACATCCTCTGATCCACAAAAACAACTATGCGTAGATCATCTAATGCAAGGTGATCTCATGAGATTAAGAGACACTTCAGAATTCAGAAAGCTACGATAGAGGAGAAGCTAGAAGCGTATACAAAAATTCTTAATCGTCGCAGTTGATTACACCGAAACGTAGAGGCGAGAAGTAGGGTTTTTCCACAGAACATCCCAAAGATAACTTTTCTCAGGCCAAGTAAAAATTCTTTGAGAAACAAAGGCAATCTCTGCGAAGTTGTCTTTCTGCCAAAAACCCCTGAGCTTTTACTTCTCGCAAAACCAAGGCTCGCCCTTTGCTTTCCCCGAAGGCAGAAGTAGTTTTTTTGAAGCACATGCTCCGAAGGTGAATTTTCCGCGAGATTGAATGGGAATTCTCTATGAATCAGAGGTATTTCTGCGAGAATATGTTTGGAGCCTCTATTCTTTCCCTTTTTTGAGATGTAAAGGCTCGTTAGGGACAAAAGTGATTTTTCAGAGTACATGATCCCGAACTAAGATTTTTCGCTGAATTCGGTAAAAGCTTTCTATAAAATGAAGGCATTCCTTGCCAAAATACCTTTCTTTTGGAAGTGTTCCTTCCGCAAATTCAAAGCTCAATTGCTTTTCTTTTTAGGGGCACTAGGTTTTTCAGACTATATGCTGCCTAATGTGAATTTTTCGCCAAGTCAAGTAGAAATTTTCTATACAACTTCTTTGCGATGTCTTTTTGCTAAAAAAAAGCCCCAGCAGAGTGTCACCCAGCTAAAGACCACCCCAGGTCAGCATGTCAGGATTCGTTGCCACCTGCCTGACAACGCGTGCTGAAGTCGCCAGGAGGCAAAAACCGTCAGTGTCATCCAGGGAGCGGCGACTGCTTCGATACACCCCTAGAACGCTCCAGCCAGGCTATCTAGGAAGGCGAGAAATTCAAATGGCTTGTACAACTTTAAACCAGTCGCCCCAGTACCCTGCGCACCGTGTTCGTCTGCCGCTTGGGACGTCGGAAGGCACTACGGCCAATGAGAGGCGAAGATCTTAGGTGCAAAAGCGAGACGTTCATTGATCCTATCGGCAACAAAGCGGACTCGACAAGACACGGATGCTGTTTTCGATTGTGCAGTTACAATGCAAAGACCTTAGCATCAGCCCACAAGCTCTTCGTTCTCCTAGACGCCGCAAGCCGCATTAAATACGATGTGATTGCTTTGCAGGAAACAAAGAACAGAAGCTCGACTACGCTCAAAAGGAAGGATGGAACTTTTATCATACTAGGAGAGCAGGTTCCAACACGTAATGTCAGAGGCGTGGGACATGTCGTACACCAATTCGTTAGCCACCTCGTCGACTCCTATGAAGTCCTGTTGCCGCGACCAGCAGTCCTAAGACTTGTTGCTCCAGGTCGGAAGAAGATTAGTATCATCAACTGTTATTCGCCCACAGATGCAGCGAATGAAGCCGAACTCGACAAGTTCTACGAGGAGCTGGAAGACGCCACCCGCAAGGAAAACTCGCTCTACAAGTCCATCGTTGGCGACTTCAATGCAAGGATAGGAAATTACAACACCAACAAGGCGAGAGAATCGGAAAATTTGGACTGACAAGTCGGAACGAGAATGGAGACAGATTCGTCGGACTCATCGAAGCGGTCCGTTTATTCCATGGAAATTCGTTTTACCAAAAAAAAGAAACATCGCCGCTGGACGTGGGAAAAATGCAAAAAATGCATGTGCAAAAATGTGCAAAAATGCATGTGCCGTTCCATCAAATGGAACGGCACATGCAGAAATCGATGATATTCTCGTCAACAGGAAATGGAGCTTGATCGATGTCGGAGTGGTTCCGTCGTACTGTACAGGTTCGGACCACCGTTTACTTCGTGCAAAGATCCGCTCCAGCCGGAAAATGGAAAGGATATTTGCCATCGTGCGAAGTCTAGAAGAGAAGCCGATTACGACGAACGTATTCTCGAGAACGCTATTTCCAGATATGACTGGAAGGAATGCGAAAATCCAACTGAAGATTTAAAAAAGCTAAAGGACTAGCAGCTGTGCAGAGCAGGCAGTTCTTACTGTAGAAAGAGGCTCGTGACGGTTAACGAACAACACCAAGGAGCTTCTTCGGAAAAGGAGAATCCTACACGCAGATTCAAGTGTATCGCATCTCGAGCAAGTACTTTTCAACGGCATTTGCACTAAAGCCGTACAAGAGGATTTGAAGCGATATCGACGAATGAAGATATTGGAAGCAGCACAAAACAGGGGAAGTCTAAAGAGGTGTGTAGGGACCTTTGCGGGCACGAAATACCGATGCAAGCTCTACTGAATAAGGACGGAAGATTTACAGAAATGCAAAACGGGTGGCATCCTAGAGAATCGAACCTACGACGTCCAGTTCTGCAGTTTAATCCACTATCCACTGCACCAAAAATCTTTTGCCGTTTGGCGTCTCTGCGGGTTTCAGCAGGCGCCATCGCGCCCCTTTTTTAGTTGCCAGCTTTCCTTATCATTAGATATACTGCAAGGATTGACGTTCAATAAATGAAAACTCAACAAGTGAGCAACTTACAAGAAATGGACTCACGTGAGACTTGCACCTCTCACCTACAGTGCTGGCCATAATTATAAAGACACTCTTGGTGCAAAAGTTTTGTCAGTTTTTTCAATCTATCGGCAAACACGCTAGTATGAAGATAAGCGAACACTTTAAAATGTATCCGATGCAGAATTTTTTCCTCTTTTCAGCTGCTAAACTTCCGTTGTGTTTCGTTGAGAGAATGACGAGATTGCCGGAAATTACAACCACTCTTTTTATCATATCCAACTTTTACTAATTCTCAAAATTTTTGTGTGAGACTTTCGGAGAACCCTAATAACCAGCACATAAACCGGGGTAAACCTTTCGCCAACAGAAACATTTTTCGTAGCCCTACGCCTTGTTTTTTAGAATTTCTACGAAAAATCGCAGTATTTTTCAATTTCATGAGTGCGCACTGACGCAAGCTACGTCTCAAAATCTTCATAATTCAAAGCGAAAATCG